GGTGCACAGTACAGTAAGTAGTTTAAAGGTGAGGTATCCAAGGGTGGTGATTAGGGAGTGGCGAGCTCTAGGCATCAGTCCCATGATCTGCCAATGGGAGCAAAATGTCACAAGGCATTCCTGTGGCTCCAGCGGTTGGGCCATTGCCTCAGGCCTGCTGTATGGCTGTCAATAAGACTTTCACCCTAGGCTCAAGCCTGTCTCTCACACACCAAGCTCAATTTCCTTTGCTCTTTTTAAAATGAAATTGTAGAATTAGATCTAGGCTGGGAAGTATGTGGAAGCTAGCTGCTAATCTGCCTCCAGTGACCATGGAAGGCATGACTAATAGATATCGGCAGTTTCCTGCCATTTGTCATTTGGCTCAACCTTGTAGGCCAGGATGCCATCATCCATTGGTGTTGGCAAAGAAAATAAAATAGATTTTCTGCTCGTTTATTGTATGCTCCCCGTGGTCTGTTCTCTTACGTGTTTGTGATTCAATGGCTCAGAAGTGAGTAGATATGTGAGAGGTTGCTTTTTGTAGATTTAATAGAGTTGCCCTGGGAAATGTCCAGGAGGCCAGAAGAGATAGGAGAGCTTTCTTCTAAGTCAGGGTAATTTGCTCTTTCCCTTGAGGTACTTTCATTTCAGTGCTTGTAGGAAATCGGATTAAATTACATGGTAATTAGTTAGACATTCAGTTTAGCATGTGGCTGGAGACCAGAGTTCAACTCTTCTGAAGCCTGGGTCTTCTGACCCCCAGGTTTAATGTAACCAATGTGGGTTTTATCACTCTGTGTGTTTTCTAGTGCTCTCTTGTTATAAACCCAACCATCCCAAAATATGGGATGCCTGTGGTTTATTATTCCTTTACACTTACACAGAAGTTCAGCATTTGGCTGATCTTCCCTGGGGTTGCTTGGGTGGCTGTGTACTAAATGAAGTGTCTCTTGGAGATTTTGCTTGGCCAGGATGGCTGGATCCCTGTTTCTACATGGCAGTTTTGTTTGTTTGTTTGTTTTGAGACAGGGTCTCCTGCAGCCCCAGCTGGGCAGGAACTCACTATATAGACCAGGCTGGCCTCAGTCTCACAGAGATCCACTTGTCTCTGCCTCCTGAGTGCTGGGATTAAAGGTGTGCACCAGCACGCCAAGCCATCTACATGGCCTTTCATTCTGGGCTTCAGGATGATCTGAAGACAGATTTTCTGAAAGAGCAAGTTGCCACATATGGATGGTTATCAAGCCATTACTTGTGAAACACCTGCCGATATCATACTGGCCAAAACAGATCACATGACCAAATCCAGACTGCATGTGGGAAAAGGTTACAACAGGGTGCCCATTAGGAGGGTGATTCATTGGGGTCAGGATTGAAATCCTCTACCCCATAACATTTTATCATTGTCACTTCCTAACCTGGCCATGGAAAAGGGCAGCACTTGACCGGGCCTATTTCCCTACTCAAGAGCTCAATTTTAACTTGCACATATGTCTATGATAAGTAATATTATCCATGTAGATAATGAAGTGTATAGTGCTTTGCATGTGATAGACATTTAATAAATAATATCAAATGAATGATTTGATAAACTAATTCAATTATCAATAGAGTTTGCAATGCCCTCTGACATTAATATAGACTGAGATTTTTTTGTCAGTGCCATAAGAATTATAGCTCTTCATAGACTATGTCTCCTTTACATATATATATATAAAATATTTTATTTATTATGTTTTATGAGTGTGAGTATATTGTTTTCATGTATGTAAGTGCACCCATGCTGTGCAATGCCTGTGACTGAGCCATCTCTCTAGCCCCTACATGTATATTTAAATATGAGTTACAGCCTTAGTTCTCTCTGATTTGCCCCACTGTGCTCAATAGGGTATCCAATGCAATTCCTTATTATATATTGGCTGATAGGCTAAAAGCTCACATTTTGAATTTTATATCTTTGCTAAAGAACATAAGCTATTATTCAATAGGCTAAAGTGAAAATCTTTTTCTTGCCAAGCTTTTACTTCAGTTACAGACTGGTTTCTGCTGAGAAAAGAGAAACACAATCAAATAGATATCAGTGTGTGCGAGTGCTTGCCTCCCACCAGGATTCTGATATTTAGAAGGGAAGTCTTGAGAAGTAAAAGGAAATCCAGCAAGGGGGAAGTATGGATGTTCAAAATTCTTTCTCCCTGATAACTGCCCAAATTTGCTTTGGGCAAAGCATTGCATATGGTTTTAGGTAGGCAAGAAACAATCATTTTGTCTTTATAAACAAAGATGTTTTTATGGTGCTAGGGATACATTTTTGGGGTTCTTAAAATGGAGAGTTTTGCAAGAACAGGGATGGTTTCTGACCTGTGAGTCGAAAGTAAATCTATTTAGAATAATAGTGACTGATGATCTTTCTAGTCTCTATTTGTGTGGTCTATTGGTGCTTTAATCAGACATTTTTGATCAGTGGCATATCACCTTGGTTAGATGGCTGTGTGGCAAAATACTCTTTATTTAACCCTCAGAATTAAAAATTGGAATTCAAGCCTATTTGTATAAATGTATTTCAAAAAGTG